CCCCTGACCACGGAAGGCTGCGTAAAGGGAATAAGGTGTCGCTTGTGGTTGGTTCCCGCAGTGCCTTGTATATGGGCGCCGGTATTTGATAGTTAGTATTTGTTCTTTAAAACATTATAAACGAGTAGCTAAAAGATAGCATTATATTCTATCTGATCTTATCTTATTGCTTCCAAGGCGAGTGGGGTTAGACTAGGGTCCTATTGGATGGGCAACAATCATTTGTTTCAGTTATGACGCAAGCGACTGTGACATCATGCTGCCACTGGACCACACGGACGCCCACACAGCTTACGCGCTTCAATCGGCGCTGCCTGATTCGTCCTTCGTGGCTTTTCCGGCGCTTAGTCATCTCTAACAATTACAGACTCCCATGCCACAAGGTTCGTCAGCTTCTCCCTTGGACGCGGACCGCTGGACACTCACTCACCCTTTCTTCCCCATGTCAGAGTATCCACAAGTACTCGCGCCGCAGAACGATGGCTCCGGGGTCACCGCTGAAACAGTCGAGCAAGCACCGCCGGCTCCCATCACAGAACAAGAAGTTGGGGAGTACCGAGAGCAGGACAGATTTCTCCCGGTAAATTCTAGTATTCATCGGTTACGGAACTATTGTTGATAAAAAGAATACTTTTGAACAGATCGCAAATGTTTCTCGTATTATGAAAGCTGCAGTCCCGCCGACAGCCAAAATCGCCAAGGATGCGAAGGAATGCGTCCAGGAATGTGTTTCCGAATTCATAAGCTTCATTACATCTGAAGCTGCTGAGAAATGCCAAACGGAGAAACGAAAGACGATAGGGGGGGAAGATATCCTGTTGGCGATGAATATGCTGGGCTTCGAGAATTACTGCGAGACATTGAAGATATACCTAGCAAAGTTACGAAGAGTACGTATTTTCTTTGAATTTCGAAATATTTCACTTCATGGCATCCTAGCATCAATATATGATGGCCGCCGCCCGTGCAGGCGATGGTGGAGAGGCCCAAGATCTTTCAGGAGAAGGAGAGGGGGATGGAGATGGAGACCAATACCAGGATGACCACCTCAACCCCTCCGGTTAACTTACTCGTATATTGTATAATTAATGTTGTGTCTCGTGTGTCTTTTTAGTTGTTTAATTGCTGGATTTTGTAATACGGTGTGCTGTGGTGCTTGATCCCTAGAAACGAGGTTGCGTTGGAAGATGCCTTCAAAGTGTGGTAAAAATACACTTTCGACTGGAGTGAATTCTGCAGATCCTTTAACAGATAGACACATACACAATATCTACCATTTCAATGACTCGCACAAGCCGATTGGCTTTCCATGTCTTCGGAAAACGTGCCGCGCGATCGCGATCGACTTTCAGCAGGAGGATGCTATTCGCTGCCAAGGGTGCTTCCCAAACATCGGATGACTTTTCTCAACACCAATCAATCTCTTCTCTCCATAACACATCTAACGAGTTGAGCATTTGTATTACCATCTATATTACTGAAGTCCGCCCAAATCTTGGTCATAATCATTCGTAAGAGTTGTCATTATTATCATGAAACGATATCCACTCCTCCATCCGCAATCCTACGCCTTAGTAATAGGTCTACCCATATCCAAAGACTCTGCACAGCGATGTCCCTTGTTCACTCGACTCCCGACTGGTGGTTCAACGATCAGGGCAGGGGTGAACTCTGCTTGCGGATCCTTGCTGCATGACCTCCAATTCTCCTTGGTTTCGGCTTGACGACGGAAACGCCAGTTGTCGTTCAGATCAGCTAGACTCGCTATCCAAATCACAAGGTCAAGGTCAGATTCGTGTCAGTATCAAGGTCAAGGGGATGGAAACCTACGCTGCACAATGGTGTTACCCCGAGAAAGTCGAGTCCGAACCTTCTCGCCGGCCCATTGACACAAAGGAGCAGAGTTGGTGCGACGGTGACCAAATTGAGCCTTGGTACGCTTGACGACTTGAGGAGGGTTGTTGTCTCCGTTCGTATCAATGTTCTGGTTTTGCACGGGCTTCGTCTTACGGACATGGTGTCCGCTGCGTTCCTTTGCAACCTTCTTCAGTTTTTCGGTGAGTACGCTCCCAAACGATTTGACATTGCTGGGTGACAAGGGCACGGGACGACGTTGGCGGAGAATCTCTGGGGTTTCCGGCTGAAAAGGAGCGTCGAAGTCGTCGAAGGCAACAGGCCATTCGGGATGAGGAGGAACATTTTCCTTGAACCCCAAAGAGGAAGCGTGGATTAATGAGGACATTGGGTCGAAATGAGTGAGGTACTTAGTGGCACGACCAGAGGAGATACACGAGCAATAGTAGTGATAAACGTGGTAGAAATGGGCCTTGCTAGTTCGTTGTTATATCGTCTCGCGTCCTCCTCTTTGACCACAAAGCGCGTCGTGCTTTGCGTCGCGTTTCGTCCGATAAGTACTTTTGTTGTGGAGTCGCAGCAGGTTTAAGAGACGAAGGAATGGATAAACTAGCTAAGTATCAAGGAGAAGCCGCATGTGGATCTGACACGAATTTAGGCGTTGATTGGTCGAGAAGCAGGTCTTTGTTTGACTATGAACGCGTTGCGGCCACGAGGTGCTCTAGCGAAGACTAGCGCGGGCATGGTGACTAGTTAATTACTAATGGATAAAACGGCATAGTAACGTATATTTCCAACGAAAGATCGCCGATTGCGGCTTACAGTAAAGACGGAAGAAAGGTATTTAAAAATATCATGATTGTACTGAATCACGATCGTGAATTGTCTGGAAATATTATTATGGGACAGAAATATTAGGATAAAATAAAACAAATGTCATGATTAGTATTGTAATTCGAAGTTCGTGATATCAGTAAGTAGTAAAGCATTCATTCTTGGCATTCATCATTATCTGAACAACTTGAAGAGGGATGTCCGGTTTATCTCCGCCGCGTCCGAAATTATTTCATCATACAGACCAACTTTGAGAAGAAGCGTTGGTTCAGAAAATTCATGGCGGCCCATTAATATTTCTTTGCCATTCCCTCCACTATCGTCTTGGGGACACGTTGAGACTGGGGATCTGAATCACTAGAACGCCAACTGAGAGAGGCATCAGCAGGGTTCGTGGAACGCCAATGGTCCAGAGTGTCGGCAGGTTTGACTTTGAGCGGCTCTGCAGACGTTAGCAATGAGCATCGATGAGCGCTGTTGATCAGCGGGAAAAGGCGTTGGATGCTCACCTGGTCGATTAGCTTGAGGTGAGTCTGACGATGCATATTTTTTCTTCTTTTCCTTCTGCTTGGTTTTCGGTGGATTCGGATCTGTCTTTCCTCGAAGGTGGGGAGCTGTGTATACACCAGAGATAGCCTTGAAATTAAGCGTGCCAGCATCCGCGTTCAAGTTCGTTGTAATTTCTTCAACTGGCTCCTTATCCGCTTTATCCGCAGAAATGTTCTCGCTGTGGGAGGTTGTAGACTTTGATATTTGGGTATGCGGAGTAGCGATAGGGGTACTAGGAGTCGAGGGTGGCGAGACGTCCACCCACTGGACGTCAGAGTCTGAGAGGACATCCCAGCTATCCAAGTCGGGTGTTGAGCGAGAAGACATTGTGGAATTGTGGATATTGCAATGTTTCGATGTGAAAGCAGAGAGTTGAAGAGGCGAAGGGTCAAGGTAATTGCTTGAAGGACTCGGAAGAGGGTGGCACTGAAGAATATGTCCTCCTTTCGGCGCTGCGAGGGAAGCTTTATATCCACAGGCCTCTGATTCGAAGTCCCAACTGTCCACTAGTGACTAGGTATACGTACGCAGTGAGGTTTAGGAAGTTCGAGAGGCAGTGTACAAAAGGATTGTGAGTCTGTGATTAAGTAGTGTGGTTGCGCCTTACTTATGGCGCACGTGTTGGGAGCTCAGCTGAGTCAATTCGGAAGTTGCCAAGTATTCAAAAACGGCCCGCCCTCACAGCAATGGGCGCACATCGCGGACTGACTCACCGACAAATAAAATAATATATGTGATCTTGAACGTCCATAATTATTGATTTTTTCTATGAAGTCTTCGTTAGAGTGAGTGCAGCTCGTTAAATGGATTAAAGACCAAGACCCTGACGGATCCTTTTGTCTGCGCTACTAAGCTTTGACTCGTTTTTCAAGGTGGTGGTACAGAGTCCAATAAAAGGACTGACAACCGCAGGGGTTGAACCTGCAATCTCCTGATGATGCTGACGTAAGTCGTAGTCAGACGCGTTGCCATTACACCAGGCGGCCGTAGAGTGTGCCGCACGCTTAATACACATGCTATATTGTTTGTATGGTATGTACGCCCCGTTCGAGCGAATTTGTAGAGAAACAAGGCTAAGAGAATTTTTAACTGCTAACTCTAGGGATTTTACGAATGATCTAACTTGTACTCCGCCCTGATCAGTGCTATGACCTCAGTCATCCATTGAGGAGTCAGGACTCTTGGGATATTTCCAATAGAGTTCAGATAGAGCTCCTCAAGTCCGAGAAGTTCTGATCAGTATCTAATCACTAAACTAACTACTCGAGCTTGCTATATGGTTAATTTCATGGAATAAAATTCAACTTGAAGGACATGTTCCCACTTTTGGAAAGAGGGAACAACGATAGGCTATCATAGTCTGTGCATTCCTACAAGTAGTTATTAGACTAGATAATGTTCTTTATTACCGTGGATTAGCTTCATTACTGTCTATTCTGCGATCAGACATCAACCCGTATTTCGCTGAATAATAGCTCTTCCTGCTAACGTGTGCAAGAAACGTGTAGATTTTAAGTTACACGACTAGTTCGCCTCGACAACATGTAGACCCGCATACCCAGCTGCTAGCTTCTGCTAGTCTCCGTAGTTTAAGCTTTGCAGATTAAAAACAGGCACCACTGTTTCGGTCAGGCACATAAAAATACTCCAACATCTGCTATGCCAGAACCAAGTTTGGAAAATGAGATACCATAAATCACTTCTCTTCCCTGCTCTGTAGAAGGGAAGATGCCTTCATTTACTCCTTTATTATTATAATAACAAATGGTCATTCCATGTGGATTATCTGTGACGAAACATCCACGTCAAAGAAATATACTCCTTGGCACCACTCACTGAAACATTGAGAATAACCGTGTTTACACTCAAAACCATCCCGAAATGTCAGTCTTCTGACGCTGCGCACGATCGGTGTCGATCTTCCTCGAGAATCACCTTGACTGACAGCTGACAGAAACTCGACAGGTCCTGTCAAAGAAGCCAGGGGTATCTTGGACCACCTTCTGGATGATGTGCTTCGTGAGAGTCGGACGGTGTCATGTTAGGCTCGGGCGTGGAAACGCTAAACATGCAGAAAGGAAGTTCTGCCGTATGTAGAAGGCATAGAAAGGTTCCGAGGACAAATAGGAGAGTTTGGATTAAATCAAGGGAACAGGCCAGAAAATATCCGGGGAATACGATCTTTTGGATGCTGATCAGGGTCACTGAATCGATGGTCAAAGAAAAAGGGTGGATTACTCGGCGATATCCAGGTTGAGTTTGCTTAAAACGGTGACGCAAGGTTCTGGATTTAATATTAACCCACCGAATATGCGGCTTAATACGAATTCCAGCGACCAGATGGAGCGTGTCGTCTTGCCTTCAGGATCTGTTGACTTTGAATAAAAAGTAAATGTTTCAGCAAGAAATGGAGACTGAAATGGACAACACTCAGGATTAAAACAACCGGAAGGTGGGTGCCGACGATGTTGGTCTCTAGAATACAAATGTCATCTACTAGGAATTAATCTGACAGCAAGTCTCTGGCAGGTCGACGTGCGGTTGAGCATGGGCGCATCCGATAATTTTGGGAATATAGTACATATGTACCTGTCGGGTCTCGACATCAATTCCTGAAACCTGCGGATAGAATTGTGCGAACGGAACGAATATAAGACCATTTTCGCCTCAACGACTGCGAACACTCACTTCTGTGCGATAACTTGCGGCAAATAGACATCACCTCCTATGAAGTCCACTTCTCTGGTACCATTATTATAAGCAGCCACCAAAAATACGAGTGAACGTGAGCTATCGTACCTGAAAGAAATCTAAACTTGACTTATGCGAAGGTCCACGATGACAGGGAGATGCAGATGCATAGACTTTTACCTCATGTTGATGGCAAGTCAATCAATCAGGATAGACTATAACAGGCACAACCTGGCTGGGAGGACTGGAAAAGGGATACTCTTAAACGTATTTATACGTACGATGGCAGACTCGTTGACTAGTTATTCCCGACAGGTATACGAGATGTCTCCTTAACTCTCACCTTGTGCACATAGGCCAGAAAACTGGGTCGTGACTCCTGTTTGAAGAACGTTTTGTACCTAGAACTGTTTTGACACTCGACTTCCTTGATGGCGGCAGCTATCCGCGTGGCTGTTTCTTGAAATGGCCAGGCAAAGTTCTGACAGAATCTGTCCCACGAGCTGCCACAGAATTGAAGGAAATTCGTCGCTATTTTCACACTTGACAAACGGCTTCCGCTTTATGTTGACTTTGTTGATAAAAAGACCCAATAGTAGAAGAAGATATTTGTGTTACATTGTCACAGAAGCCAGGCCGCCGCTTTCCGCTGTCACAGGGAGCAGCGGCAGGGTCTTGCCGTGTTCCTGTCATCAGCGGTACCACACAGAACAAAGCTTTTGTTCCTGCCTTACAGGGCCTCTGCGCAATTTTCATCAGATTCTATGTATTCTAAGAGGTGGCGCATACCTTTCAATTGTCTTCTGCGACCCCTTGGCTAAGAAAGGGAAACCCTTCTGGGTTTTAGGTCAATCAATTGATCTCTTGATCCTGAAGGTCTTCTACTCACTCGAGCCCACTGGGAATGAACATTATCTCAACACAACCATAGTGGAGAATTAGAGCCTTTTGAAATCTCCGTTATTATGGTCGGAGACATGTACAAGGGTCAGCACTCCGATCTACTGGGACGAGGAGAATTCTGTCTGGAGTCTGTTTTTGTTCGGAAAAGGTACAGATTCTACGCTTCTCTTCCGGTTCTTGACTAACTTCCGACTGCTCTCCTCTGTCAGAACCGGCATAGCTGAATCTGTCAGTTCGTCAATTCTATGGTGCCTCACGTCGTTCCACTGGGACTTCTTTCCGCGCATCCATCTAGACTCTGAACAGCCTGCTTATCAGAATTTACATGTGGTCTTCGTATAAAAAGACATGGACCCCCAGACGATGGTAAACAGACCAAGTGAGATCCTCCTTTGCCACTACACCCTAACTTCGCTAGAATGCCTTCCTTCACCAAGCTCGTTGCTTTCACTAGCTACATTGCCCTCGCTCTCGGTGCTGCTCACCCTCACCTTAACGCCAGTATGTAGAACTTTGGATCTAATTATTAACGAATGATTTCTTACATTCACATAGTTAACACTCACTGCCCGGATGCCCAGCAGATCAAAACCGAAAGCCACGCAGTGAACGGAGGTGTTCTCACCATTTCCGACTTCTCTTGCGCCTCTGCCGGAACATCCGCCCGCGAGCTCGATATTCTTGAGAAGAAATCCACTGTTGACGTCTGCAATGTACTCTGTATGTATATCTCTTATTTTCTCCTTTTATTGCCACTGAACTTTTTTTGGAGGCACGGCCTCATGTAACGACAACGCTGGATCCTTGCCCCCTGTCGTTGCCGACTGCGACAAGATCGTTAGTGGTGTCCAAATCTTGGGCACCAACCTCCCTACCGAATTCACCGTCGCCAAAGGTGGTACCAAGGTTTTGACCTTCGATACTTGCAGCTTCATTTTCACGAACAAGGGTATCTCTTCCCAATCCCAATGCTTTAAGAGCTTCGTACGCATTTTAAAAACAATCATTGATTCTTATTATTCTTATATCTCTTGTCATACAGGTTACCCAAGCTTCTACCGCCGGTGCTGGCTGCTTCCCTCCCGTTCAACCCTTCTTCTCCGAGGGCGTTTGCACAGCTACTGGATCCAATGGCTGGACAGTCGCGTACGTTGTCCCTTCAGTAACAGTGATATGTGACGAATACTTACACTCTATTCAGTGCTGCTCACTCTCCCCCTTCAAGTTAAGCGGCTCAAACGGGACCATAGAGGTTACAGCAGCACTGTAGCTTATTTAACAGATGTTTTTAAGCCCCATTTTGTTGAAAGATTTTTATTGGGTTATAAAGTTGACTTTAAAAGGACTTTGACATGAAGATGGAGGAATACACGTCAGACTATCGTGGCACTTGGGATATTGAAAGAGAGTACACGTTGCATGGCGTTCGCTGATGTTATGACTCCACCCCATACAAGATCATATCTTGTGACTACGTGTAAAATTCGTATTAAGAAAGGGGGAGTCATCTATGATCAGGAGCGAGAGAGAAGACGGTGAGCGGGAGAACCGTATTCCCGGAGCTTTGGCGCCACTGCGGTGATCCATCTCAGTCTCTCTAAGAAAGAACTAAATATCTCATAAATAAATTTAACTAATCCAAGGAATTTTAGAGCTATGACGAGTTTAGCCTTATAATGCAATTGTGAAGGAGATACTTAATTGGAGATTTGCGGACACTGTATCCAATAAAACGGCTGCTCATAAATCACCAATAACTTGGAACCGGAGAACACAGTGAGGGAGATCCTATATTTTAGAGAATGGGAGAAAAGACCCGAATAAAAATTAAGTACTTGCAACTTCAAAACTCGAGACAGCTCGGTCAAGACTTGAACTTAATTTCAAATTTGGCTAGAGAATTATTTAAACAAATAAATAATTCAAACAGATATTTAAAAAGCTGAATAGGTAACATTGTGATTTTAAATGCAGCATTAATTTGGTACCGCTGCGGGGACGCGTTGACGTAGTTGGGTCGTATGGGTGCGTATGTACACGGACCCAGATATAGACGCCTGAACACGTTACTCGGTCAACGACCAGCATGAAGCTCAAGGAAATCCAGAGGACGTCTACCTTTGCATGGTCGCCTTCACAGTCTGTTCCATTAATCGCGACGGGTACCGTTGCTGGCGCCCTTGATGAATCCTTCAGCAACGACAGCCAGCTCGAAATATGGGCTCCCGACTTCCTGGACAAAAATGAGTACGCTTTAGGTGGGGATGCGGGCCAACCTGCTCCTAAAGCTTCTATTACAACTTCCTCGAGGTAGGATTTAGTCTCTGTATTAAATTGCTGAGAAATCCCGCTGATATGAGGTGCAGATTCAACCGACTTGCATGGGGCTACG